GGCGGGGACGGGCGGGGCAGGGCAAGGCGAGGTGGCGGGGCGTTTGGCCCCTGCTGTGCTCTGCCCCGCAAGTATGGGACCGCCGGGTCCCGAGACAGCACGGGCTTCTCCAGCAGCCCCTCCCCGCCCCGCCACACCCTCTCTCGCCATACAGGCAAACGTCGGGCATTGCCAGGCGATGCCAGGCGTTGCGTGCCAAACACATTTGTTCTCCATCCCCGCGCTGGCTGCGCTGGCTCAGCTGGCTGGTTGGAGTGCCCGCCCCGCCCCGCCCCACCCCGCCCCGTGGCGCGGTGCCGCTGTAGCGCCTGCTGCTGCCCCCGTGCGGTCGCGATATCGCAGTAAGAGCCGGGCGAGGGCGTATCTTTCCGTTGAGCGAACCGCCCCCTCCTCCTCCAGTAGGGTTTCCACCTCCGCAGTGATATAACTGTCAGGCCTAGCCGACTCTACTGTAAACTAGAATGCGTTACGTAAAGTCCGGAGTGTTGCAGTTACACACAATGTAATCACGCTCAGATTTTAACCCCAAAACAAATTTATTTTTCATATACCTGTATTTTGGAACATGGTTACATACACGGTAAAAACAGCTCCTTGCTCCTTGAACATCAAGGAACTGTTTTTACCGTGTAAAAGAAAAAAATATGAATCGATTTTTGATACGTATATACCGGTGTGGTGTAAGTAAGTTAGTCTGCTCTGTATAATCCGCGAGCGTTGGCGGTGTCTTGGTTATCTCAGTGATTTTTTCTATATTTCCTTTTTTTCCCTTTTGCTCCTCGCCCCAGCGGGGGCTAGTCCTTGCCATCCGTCCGCGCCACCACAGTCTCCACCGCCCTCCAATATCTCACAAAGCCCGCTCCGCTCGCACACAAAAGACGTGGCTGCGGTTCGCAGCATCGCCATGTGCCAATGTCCTAAGTCAGGCAGCACAGCGCAGCCCCGCGGGGTTGTCATCCACGGGGGAGAATTTGTCTCGCGTGTTGGGGGAGGAGGGTAGGAGTCTTGTCTGGGGCTCCGACTCCGGGCTCCGTGAAAGGAAAGGGACATTCGTTTTAGTGACGGAAGACAGACTTCAGTTGCAAAGGTCCCCTTCAGAGGTGCATCTAAAAAACTACAGTTTTTGATTTAAGAATCGAAATCTGAGCTTTACTAAAGTGAAATATTCTTTGAATGTTCCGTAAATGTAACAGTTGAACAGTCCCACTGAAACTAGAGTATAACAGGCATGTACTCTGCTTGCAAGGTCTATTGCGGTCGATTGCGGTATATTCTTGCAACAGTGTTCTGTTTCTGTTATACTCTAGTTTCAGTGGGACTGTTCAACTGTTACATTTACGGAACATTCAAAGAATATTCCACTTTAGTAAAGCTCTGTTGCACTTTTGAAAATTTCAGAGCAGTTCTCACATTAAGAGCACAGTTTTCTGGGTCTGGGTGTAGTAAAGTTAGTGGGAACTCCGAATATCCGTGGGAGAGGAAGCAAAAGAACGAAGAAAGAAGGAGATATAAGGGCAGCCTGGTTTTTCTTTGGTTTATCCTTCTGTCTCTCTTCTTTGCCTCAGGTACGCGGGACCGGACTCAAACCAGATCTCCACGGCCTTCTCGGTGACGTTCGGTGACTACCTCTGCACGTCGCGGAACATCGTCTACGCCCTGATCGACGGCCGGGGCTCCGGGCACAACGGCCGCCGGCAGATGCACGCCGTCTACCGCCGCCTCGGCACCGTCGAGATCCAGGACCAGATCGCCGTGGCCAAGTACGTCCTGCTGACCTCCGGCTGCGGGCATCGCGGGCCTCGTAGAGGAGACAAACCTTTGCTCTATACCCCTCTCTGCCTTTCCCTCCCCCGCCCTTGCCCCCGACTTTCATACCCCTCCGGCTGCTCCTCTCAGCGGGGGGCAGGGAGTGGCCGCCGGGGTCCCAGCCAAGTCCCCGACACACCGCTGCCCCGACCCCCGCGCCGCGCTCGGCGACCACGCCCTCTTTGATGGCCAGGCCGATATGGAGCTGGCGTGGCGTGGACTTCGCGTGGCGGCGTGGCGTAGCGGGGCGTGCCGCCTCTCCTAACGGAGCGCGTTGTGCTTGCAGGCACCTCAAGGAGAACCTCCCCTACGTGGACCCAGCGCGCACCGCCATCTGGGGCTGGAGCTACGGCGGCTTCTCCACGGCGCACGCCATGGCGCAGGACCTGGGCGGCGTCTTCTGCTGCGGCGTGTCGGTCGCACCCGTCACCAGCTTTATCTACTACGGTGAGCCGGCCTGCCTATATGTCGCCCGTTGTCTCACCACCACATTTTCCCTTTTATTGGGGCGCTATGTTTTATTTTTATTCGGCCGTAACACGCCGGTGCGAGGATATTCGTAATAATTTCCGGGTTTAGGCCTCGGCAGTGGGGTGGGTTGTGGAAGGTAAAAGTGAGGGAGAGGAAGGGGGTGGAGTAGAGAGGGAGGGCGAGGGTGAGGGGGTTCTGTAGCAGGTGTACGAGGGGCATGCGTTCAATGTCTGTAAATCAGAGAGAGAGAGAGAGAGAGAGAGAGAGAGAGAGAGAGAGAAAGTGAGAGAGAGAGAAGGATGGATGGAGTGGGAGCGAGAAAGTATGTGTGTGGGCTGGTTTTATCGGCTCGCGCCTCCGGCTACGGCCACTCAATGCTGCAACCTTTTCAGTCGAGTCGCCATGATTTGGGAAGGCGGAGGGTCGTGACGGGGCGCTACGCGGCGCCTTGACGCTGACGGAGCTGACGGGGCGGCTCGGGCGAGTCGGCCACTTGATGGGCGCCGTTGCCGCCGCGGGCTGCGTTTTATATATTTCTCATATCAGGGTGGAGAGACGGGTGGTGGGGTGGAGTGCTGCAGGAGGGCACCTCGGGGGCCGAGCCCGGCCGGCGCGCCTTGGCCGTGACTCCAGGGCGGGCGCCGTGGGCACATAAAGTTCGCCGAGCGATGGCACTAGCGCCCTCGCCCACGCCCCCGACCCGCCCCCGGCCCGCCCCCGGCC